CTTGGGGAGGGTGCAGTCTTTGGCGAGGGCTTGTCCAGCCTGGGGGTGACAGGCCTGGGTATGTGGCAGGAGCTGAGGGAAGGGGCCAGCCCGCTGGGGGGAAGGGAAGGGCAGAGAAGGAGGCGGGTGGGTAGGTGGCAGGGGGGATGGGGTGGGGGGATTCGTTTTTAACTTAGTGAAAAGATTTATTTGACCAAAATGACTCTTGCTTTTCCCCTTTCAAAAATAGTAAGTTAGTTTCACCCCACATTTGATTATAAAGAAAAATAAAATAAAATAAAAAATAAAAATAAAAATAGTAAGTTAGCAATTCTCTGGACACACTTAATTGAAACAGGAGTAAAGCAACACACACGACAGAGATAAAGACACGATCAAGACGTGCTCATTAGTGCAGAGTGTGAAATACACACTCAGAACAGTTCTAAACCCTTGAAGTAGCCAAGTAACCGCACTTGAGGATGGAGCGAGGTTTTGTAAACAGGCCAGAAAGAAACAGTGTTTCCCTGGTCCCTCGTGCTGCTGCGCGCACCTCTGCAAACTCCCGAGAAATAGCTCCTCCAAGCCTCGCCGGTGGGTATCGTCATCTCCTTTGGGTGTCGTTACATCCTTTGAGCAAGGGTTGTTTCTTTGACTCCCCACTGCGCATTCCACAGGCAGCTCAGAAAGGAACATTTTTAATTTTTGCTATTATTTGGCGTTTTATTATGGAAATTAGCAAACATGCCCAAAGGTGGAGGGAACAGGCTAACCAGGTCCTCGTCCCCATCACCAGCTCCAAGGACTATGGACTTGGGTGAGTGGTTCCACTCCCTCCCCCACGTGTATTGCGGGTGTGATGTCACCTCTCCCGTGCATGGGGAGGCATGTGACATCCCGGTCGGTGCCTGTCCTCCCAGGTCTGTCTCCCGGAAACCTCCAGTCCAGCCCCCGTGCTCGGGCTGAGTTTCAGGAGTGGGGTGACGCTGTCCGGACATCAGGCCCCCAGGAGGCAGGGGTGGCCACGGGAACACGAAATGTCGGGGACCCCTTGTCCTCCAAGTATGGGCCCAGGAGTCGGGGGAGGAGGTCAAGGCTAATGTTCCGAGATGACCTATAACCAGGTGGCCGTCAGAGCCACAGACCCCTGGGCTATTGGCGCTAGTGGGCACCTCAGCCACCGACAGTCTTTCCCCCACGGGATAGAGGGGAAACCAAGGCTCGGGGAACAGGTCCATCCTGCTCAAGCCAGGTGCCCCATCTGTCAGAGGGCCGGGCGAGCGCCCAGGGACCCGGCTGTTTCCCGCCTGGTGTCCAGGCAGCATTCATAGAGCCCTTGCTGCATACACGCGCCGCCCCTCCAGGGGGACCCCGAGGAGGGCAGGAGGTTCCCTGGCAGCATCTCCAGCTGCCAGTCTCCCTGGAGTGGCCCAGAACCCTGGACCCCCTCGCCAAGCCGAGGACTGTCGGCGGGGGGGTCCTCCCCTGGACAGGTAGGTCCTTGCCAAGCGGCCCCTCATCCAGAGCCAGCGCTGGCTCACTCTTGTCTCTTTCTCTGTCACACAGTGTGTGTGCTGGCTGTTCTGTCCTGCATGGCCCCTCTCCCTCGCTCTCCCTCCCCACCCCTAGCCCCCCACTTCTCTTCCCACTTCCCTCTTCCTTCTCCCGTAAGTTCTCCCCCTGCACGAGGTGGGGGGTGGGGGCGTTTTGCCAAGGGACTGAATAAACAGGAAGGAAGGGGGAGCAAGTCGCTGAGGGCTCCTGACGGGCTCTGGGAAGGTTTCTGACTCTGGAGACTGTCACAGAGAGCCACCTGGGCAGTCACAGCCTGCGCCCCACGTGAGGCCGGGAGGGGTGGCGGGGAAAGGGCTGGTGCCCGGGCAGGTTGTCATGGGCCCTGTGACCCTCAGAATGAGGGCGAGGAGAGATCCAGGGAGGGGCCAAGGGCCCGGCTTCCAGCTGGCTGTGCTCTGTGACCCTGGGCAAATCCCGTCCCCTCTCCGAGGCTCGGTCTCCCGTCTGTGAAAGGCAGGAGCTGGGTTAGAGGGCTAGGAGGGGCCTTCCAGCCCTGCTGCTGCAGGACTCTGAGGATTGATCTTTATTTTATTTTATTTTTTTTTAAGACAGGGTCTCGCTCTGTCACCCAGACTGAGGCACAGCGGTGTCATCGTAGCTCACTGCAGCCTCCAACCCCTAGGCTCAGGTGATCCTCCTGCCTCAGCCTCCCGAGTAGCTGGGACTATAGGCATGTGCCACCACACCTGGCTAACTTTTTAATGTGTTTGTAGAGATGGGGTCTTGGTACATTGCCCAAGCTGGTCTTGGACTCCTGGGCTCGAACGATCCCCCCCTGCCTGCCCCTCTGCCTCGGCCTCCCAGAGTGCTGGGATTACAGGTGTGAGCCACTGCTCTCAGCCAGGGTTGATCTTTCATACAACATGTGGGCTCCAGAGAACGAGTCTTGCTGAGCTTCCCTACCCTCCAGGGCTGCCCGGAGCCCCCGCTGCCCTGGGCTGGGGCATTCTGAGGGACCTGGGGGGGACAGCGGGGAGGAGGAAGCCCCTGTGGGAGGCCCTAGCTCAGAGCTGCTCCCACTAAACCCCCACCCCTGGCCGCCGGCAACCCAGGTGGGCCAGGACACTGCTGCAAACGAGTTTGGTTTCCGGCTGGCAGCTGGAGCTGCCAACATCAGCCCCCATTCAAGTGACAGGCTGGGGACTTTGGGGAAATAGCCATGAATACGCGTGTGGGGAGGGAGAGGGAGGGGAGGAGGAGGGGGATGGAAAGAGCAGAGCCGGAGGTGGGGTCTGGGAGAAGGCCTGGGTCCTGGGGGTGCAGAGCGCATGTGCGACGTGTGTGTATGTGTGCGCGCACGTGCGTGTACACAGGTACACATGCATGTGCTCCCGTGATGGTCAGTATCTCAGCGTTTCTGTGACTATGTGGACATACGCACTTCAGTGTCCGTCTGGGATTTAGTCTGCGTGCGGCCTCGGGGAGACAGCGTGAGTCTGTTGATGCCTCAGGTGGCGGCTCGATGCCTTGAGAACGCTTCCCCCAAAGCGGTGAACAAGTGTCTGCAAACATCCCACGCCTCGCTGAGCTCAGGGACGGAGCGCTGGTCTGAAGCTCGGACCGGCTGCCCCTGCAGCGGACTGGCTGGGTGGCCTTGAGTGGGGACTGCCCTTCCCGGCTTGAGGCGCCGCAGTGGCAAACAGCGACAGCGGCCGCCGCCCTCTGAGCACTTAGGGTGGGGCAGGCCCCGTTCTAACCCCGGAAGTAGGTCCTATTGTCATCTCTACTGCGGGAGGTGGAAACTGAGGCACATGCCTACGATGGCCTCCCAGTGCGTGGGGGAGCTGAGATTCCCACCCGGGCAGCCTGGCTTGGGGCCCGAGCCCTTAACCACGACTCTGCCCACCCGGAGACCCTGTGCCGGGTGAGAAGGGTCCGATTCAGACTCTGGGAGTGGGTCACGCAGCTCTGCGGCCCCACCTGTCCCCGCGCGGAGCACCGTGGCTCTGCTCAGCCAGGGCGACTGGCCGGGGTGTGACCCGTCTCCCTGGGGCACTGAGCGGGCCTGGGTTGATCTCTGAGGGCTCTGGTGTGCCAGGGTGCTGAGACTTGGCGTTTGAGACGTACGGTCCACGCAGCCAACGTCACAGGAGGAAGGACGTGGCCAGGTGCAGAGGGAAGAGACCAGGACGCTTTGAGCCAAATTTCTGTCTCTTGGGGCCCCATCAGCTGATTCACCGCAGTGTCCCGGGGGCGGCAGACACGCTGTGTGTGCCCCGAGGGCGGAGGCTGCCAGCTGCTAACGGGGACACTTGCTTCTGGGAGGTGGCGGGGTCTCCTCTCCCCCAAAGCCCGAAGGCTGGTGGAGACGTGAGGGGTCTCAGTGCTGCTTTCTGAGATAAGGAGCAAGTCCTTTTCTGTCCTCCTTCCCTCTGCCCTGGGACAGCCAGCCTGTGTCCAAGAAGGGGGAGTTAGAGGAGGCAGAGGGCAGCCAAGGCAGGAAGGAGAAGCCCAGCTGGGTGACATTAACAGGGGACAGAAGCGCCTGGCTCGCCCCTTCCTGGACACAGGCGCAGTCATAAAACCCTGAGCAGACCCAGACCTGGTGCTGGTTCCTGGTGGCCCCGCTCCCCCTGCCTGCCATGTGTGGCCAGGGGTGCAGGCCCATCGCCACTCCCTGGAGCAAGCTGTCAGGCTGCTGGCCCCGGGGCCCGGCAGGGCGCCTGGGAGGGACTGCGTCGGCCACCGAGCCGGGTGCTGAGGGTCAGGAAGGGTGGACGTGGCCCGAGGAGTGGCAGCAGATCTGCAGAGGACGGAAACAGGAGAGGGCAGGGGGAGCCCAGGGAGGGTCCGGGAGGCTCATTCCCTGCGTGGCAGGTGCAGGCATGTTCTTAACACAAGTCAGACCGTGCCACTTCCCGGCTTAAACCCTCTTGGTGGCGGCCCCTGAAATAGAACCCAAAGTCCCGGTCCTGCCGTGTGATCTGGCTCTGCCTTCGCCCCATCTCCTGGAGCGAGTGTCGCCGTGCCCTCCTCGCTCTCCACTGTCCGCCGCATGGGCTCCTGCGGTCGCCCAAACACGCTGAGCTATCTCCACCTTGGGACCTTTGCCCAGCGCGTCCCCACTGCCTGGCAATCTCCCCACCCTGCACTCCGTGCTCGTTCAGGTCTCTGCTTACGTGTCACCTCCTCAGAGAAGCCTTCCTTGACTGCTCTGTCAAAGGCTTCATCCTTTATTTCAGCACCCCGCTGTTTAATGTATAAAACTCACCACGATTTGTAACCAGTTTATTCGTTATTTTTGTCTCTCTCCCACTAGGCTGACAACTAAAACGGAGCAGGGGCCATACGGGTGCTCAATAAATATTTGTCGATAGTCAGCAAACATTTGTTGAATGACTGTATGAAGGAGATAAGCTTACCTGGCTTAGGAAGGTTGAATAGAAACTGGGAAAGTAAAGAAAGGATGTTGAGCTGTGATAACAGAAAACCCAACTATCAGCAGCTTGACCTATAAGGATATCTATTGTTCACTTAGCAATATATGCGATGTAGCTTGTCCTAATGTTGATTCTGCAGCGTAACAATGTCATCATCACCCTGGTTCTTTTAACCCTTCCACTCTGGCCACCCTCAGCATGTTGGTGCTTATGCTCAAGCTTGACGCCTCATGGTCACAAAATAGCTGCTACAGCTCCAGGCACCACGTGCTCACACAGTGTTCAAAATAGGGAGGGAGGATGGGAGCAAAGGAGCCTTCTCTTCACTTGGCTTTCCCTTCCATCAGGGATGAAAATCTTCATCTTGAATCGCACTGCCACTCCCCACACCCCCTCTGGAGTGTGTTCTTTATATTGTTATCACTCTGAACTGGACCATGTGCCCACTCCAGACCAGTGAAGGGCTAAAGACAGATACTGCCACGATCGCCTTAAACCAGTTGGGATTCGGCTCCTGGGCGGTGTGCAGTTCAAGCCAAGAGGCTCTGCTCCTGGGAAGAGGGCAGACAACTCAGTGCCTGCTCTGCTGTCTCTCGGACCCTCCCCGTCCTGTGGGACAGGCCGGGCTACTTTTCTTAGTCCTAGGATTTTTTTCCCCCTGGTCATTTTGTTTGTTTGTTTGTTTGTTTTTTATTTTTGAGACAGAGTCTCCCTCTGTCACCCGGAGTAGAGTGCCGTGGCGTCAGCGTAGCTCACAGCAACCTCCAACTCCTGGTCTCAAGCCATCCTCCTGCCTCGGCCTCCCAGGGTGCTAGTATTACAGGCGAGAGGCACCATGCCCAGCCTCCCCCTGGTCATTTGGGAATGCAAGGTTCAGAGAGGTTAAGAAATGTGTTCAGGATTACGTAGAAAACTAGAAGGGAATAGAACTTAGCCCTCCTCTCTGACCTCACCCCAGAACCTGGGGTGCACCCAGACGCCCTGGGCTGCCCCTCTTAGTCCTTTCTCACCTCAGTGCTGCTGCTTGTTTAACTGGCACCTGAGGCTGTGAGCTTCCTAACTGCGAGGACCTTGGATCTGCCCACCGTTGCCCCAGCACCTGGATCGGAGCCTGGCGCTGCTGCGCGCACGGGTGAGAGAATGCGCGATGGTCTTACGTGTCTGGCATGGAAGGCCTCCCTGCGCGGTGTAATAGCCCCGTCGGCAAGACTTGGCTGGAGCTCGGAGCCCTTCCCCGCGCAGCTTGCCAGCACTGAAGATCCGTTTCACTCATGCACATCTGCCCTGCGGGAGTGAGGGAGCAAAAATGCAGGGCACAGCTGGTCCCAGGATGGGTGCACGCCCCTAGGAGGACAGCCGCGCTCAATCAGAGCTACTCAGTAATACAAGTGGAACTGGCTGTTTTGTGAACTCTGCTTCAGAGGTGACAGGAATCTGCTGGGAATGCTCTATAAGAGATGCAACAAGTAGTTCGAGTCAAGACCCCTGGAAGACTCTGCTTCTAAGATATATTGGCTTAAGGGCATGAGGAAACAGCATTCACAGAATTCTCACAACAGCCCTACTCTGATTTTATGGTAAGGAAAACTGAAACACAGAGAAGGTCAGTTACTCGCCCAAGGTCACACAGCTAAGCTATGACGAAGACAGGATTTGAATCCAGTCCCTTTTTTAAACCGTTAGACCACACTGCCTTTTACCCTTTGGGGATCTGAGGCTCTGTGATTTGAAGGATTTCGGCGGCCCTAGCACCGTCAAAGGGTGTTTCTCTAAGATTCTGTGACTCGGAGATGGCTCTGGGGTGGCTCTGGGATTCTCAGAAGCCTGCGTTCTCTTCTCTGGGACCGCGATTACCCGCGATGCCACTCGGATTTTCGGACAGCCAGTGTGGTCCTTCTCATGGTGGGCCTTCAGACTTGGTTTAATTAAAGACTATCGGCGTGTTTTGATTTCTTTGTTCCTTTGGCTCTGTCCCTCTGCCTGCAGGCCCGGCCACCCGGCCTTTCTGGCCGCCGGCAATCTGCCAGCTTTGTAACAGCCGCACAGGGAGACGCCAGCCACTCGGAAGCCCGACCAGACCCCGCCAGCGCTGCCCTTGGGGGAGCTGGGGCCCCTCGTGGCCCCAGACAGTGACTGGTGTGTGTGTGGGGGTGCCCTGCGGGTGGGGAAGGGGGAGGGAGGAGAGAGAGCCCCGGAATAAGCAGGGAGGGTGGGAGAGGGTGGGCGTCGCAGGCGTGTCAGGCTCATCCTGCCAACGGGAGGCCCCAGGACGTGAGCCATCTGCGGGCTCCTGGTGAGACGCCTCCTCCACAGGCCTCCCAGGCAGCAGATGGAGGGAGCAGGCTCTGCTCGGGAGCCTTCCACGGGCCAGTACGGAGCCGGGGCCTTACACGCATTGATTGCTTTCATCCGCCCTCCTGTTTCAGGGGCCGCTGACACAGGTGCCCTGCCCCCACGCGCCTCCCACGACAGCCTGGGCTGCAGGGAGGGCCAGCGCTTCCCGCCGCCTTCTAGAGGCTTCGCCCTCGGGTCCCTGCATCATCGTGTCTCCGTCTCTGTGGGCCTCTCCGTGAGCACACAGAGGAGAGCTGAGCTCCGCACCTGCGGGGAGAGACATGCTCAGAGACAGAGAGAGACAGACAGACGGAGACCGAGGTAGAGACCTCACGCCCTGGGCTCCTCCAAGGACTGCCCAGGTTTTCCAGTGGCTTCTCAGCAGAACCGCTCAGCATCCCAACGACCGTCTTTCCTCCCCTCCTTGCCCTCTCCAGCCCATGCCCGTCTGGCTGATGGTTTTCGGAAAGGTCACGGCGGCCCTTCCCGCTGCTGGACGCCAGCACAGCCTGCCGGACTGCACGCTGCCTGGGCGGCTCCTCCCTCCTTCCTCCAGCCCCAGCCCCCTCCTCTCCCTCGGTGGCTCCGGCTCCCCGGTGTCCCCTGCAGCCTGGCCACTCCTCAGGCTCTCTCCCAGGGCCACCCCCGCCACCTCTAAGTGTGACATTCCAGTGCTGCCGCCCAGGCCCTGTCCCCTGCCCTCTCACCCCCGCACCTGCCCATGCTCGCCTCTGTGACCCCGTGCACCCCCGCCTTTCCATTCCGAGTCCGAGCTGGTCCCCCACGTCCCTGGCGCCTGCCCTCCTGGGTTCCAGCCCATGCGATGCCCCCTCGATGTCTCGCAGGCGCCTCCAGCCCAGCGGGCACCCCTGGACCCCGCTGTTCGCATGCCGGCCAGAGTCTGCGACTCGACTCGACTCGACGGGGACAGGCTCGCCCCTCGGGGAGCCTCTTTTCCAGGTGCCTAGAGAGGCTGTCGAGACTAAACGTGCAGTTGAATTAGAAGCATCAGGAACTCCCGGGAACCTAGTGATCGTGTTTCCCTTCACTGATGGGTTCTTCAAGTGAGTCCAGAAAACCCCTTAGCAGTATGAAACGCTCTAAAACTGAAAACCGTGACAGATGCTTCGCTGCGTGGCTCACAGATTCATCCATTCGTCCCGCAGCTGTCTATTGGGCGCCTGCTGTGTGCCACGGCGGGGCTCAGGGGTGAGCTGGTGAACAAACAGGCGCAGCGCAAGTGTCTACTTTTACTGACCCATTTCACAGCCGAGGAAGCTGACGCTGTCACTGGGCCAAGCACATGCAGCCAGTGCGAGGGAGACCCGCTGTCAGCCAGGCAGCGTGACCCCAGGGTCCATGCTCCTGGCCACAGCTCTGGCAGGGTGTAAATATGAACAAAATGTGCAATCACAAACTGTGATCAGTGCCATGGAAGAAAATCTTGGGGTGCTGGGGTGCAGAGAGAAGAGGCTCACCTAGTCTAAGGGGCCAGGGAGGGCGTCTTCGAGGAAGTGATACTTCAGTGGAGACTCAGAGAATGAGGAGACGTAGACAAGGCAAGGAGGTGAGAACAGGGCATCTCGGGCAAAGGAAAGAGCCTGTGCAAAGGCCCTGAGGCAGCAGGGCTTAGCACAGAGAGGACATCTGAAGCCAGTCTAGCAAAAATACAGGAATATGTGCATGGCAGGGAGTAGGGGACACAGGGGGGCAAGGAGATTTGGGGAAGATGGGGCTGGAGCTGGCAGTGCCAACGTTTAGGCTTTACCCATCCTGCCACGGAAGGGTTGATGCCTGGCGGACACGGGCAGCTGTTGGCAGGGTAGGATTTGGGGCTCCTAGAGCCTGAGCGGTCGAAACGTCTCTTCTCCACTCTGTCATTTGTCCCGAAAGTCCACCATTGCTGCTCTGTCCTCAAGGCTGTGAAAAGCAATTCATGACTTCCAGCCCCCATGGAAAGTCGGGCACCCGAGGGAGGCGTGGAGCCCGGAGCGCCCGTGGCTGCTTCCTCGTGCCCAGCTTCCCCGTCACACTGAGCCTGCCCTGGCCGGCGCCCTGCCAGCCGCCGTGGCCCAGGACGAGGGTCGGGTCGGGACTTGGGCTCGCTGGGCCCGCTGTGGGAGGGGGAGCAGACGAGTGAATGGCAGCTGGGCGTGGGGCCTGGGCCAGGACACAGGGAGGGTTGGGGCCTGGTGGAGTTTCCAAATTGGGAGTGGCCAGCCCCACGGAGAAACGTGGGGGTCAGGCAGGCTTCCCTGCAGAGGGGATGTTTGAACCCGAGGCTCACCCGGTGAGGAGGGGAGACGCAGGCCGGATAGATGGCACAGCAAGGGGAGGGGAGGCGGGGCAGGGAGGTGCTTATGCCTCAGAGACCCTAATTCCAAGATCGCAGCCACAGATCTGGGAGGCAGCAAGAACATCATCCCATTTAACAGATGGGAAAACTGAGTCTTAGAGGTTAACTAATTTTCCCTTGGGTGCCTGAGCAGCTGAGCTGGGGTTCACACTCAGGCCTCGACTCCAGGGGCAGAGCTCAGAACCCCCACGCCACACTGCTCCCCAGGTCACCGCAAGTGCCCCGAGGAGCGGACAGGCTCTGGCGTGGCGGGGGCCAGCGCCACACCGCACTGCGGAATGGGAAGGTTCTGGCCCCAACGCAGGCACCTGTGCTCGGCAGGTGCCTCCCCCCTCAGGGCCTCTGTCCATCCGTCCTTCATCTGCACACAGACCCACCCTTCCCCACCGAGGGCTGCGGCGAGGCAGCGAGGAGTGGCAAGGGCGGCCTCCTTTGGGCTGGGAGCCCTGGCGGTACCTGGGAGGGCGAGAGACACAATGGGGCGGCGGAAGGAGCCGGGAGGAGGGCTCTGCCCCCCGCGGTGGCTGCTGCTCTCCCCCGCAGGGCCAGCGGGATCCGGGCCACCCATCGCCCTCCCTGGGGCGCTGGCGACAATGCCACTGCCAGCTCGCCCCTACTGCATCGGGCTGGAGAGAGAAGCAAACGAGCAAGGGACAGGTACGGCGCCAGGGGACCTGCCCACCAGCCGAGGGAACCCGCCCAGCCGGCCCCACGACACAGGCTTGGTCGGCTGGCGCAGGCCACAGCCAGGCACCGTGCTGGGAGACTCGGGTGCGGGCGGGCAGATGAGGGGCAGTGGAACTGACGATCACGTGACCTGTCACTCGTCTGGGGCGCCTAGGGCCAGGTGCCGAGTAAGCACTTCATGACCTTGCATTGTCTAATCCTCTCAGCTACCCTGGGCGGCGGGCTCTGCCATGCCCCCACTTTATGGATGGGGAAACTGAGGCCCAGAGCCTGAGGCTCAGCTGTGGCCACACTGAGATTGGGCTCTTGGTCCCCCGGGCTCTGGCGTCCTCACTCTAACCCTCACCACTGTGCTTCCCTGTGTGGGTTCAGACCCTGCGGACTTGGGTTCGAATCCTGGGTCCGTCACTTAGAGGCTGAGCAACCTTGGGCGAGGCCGCCACCCTCCGAGCCTCAGTTTCCGCATCTGTACGATAGCTGCCTCACAGGGTAAATTACTGCAGCGCAGAGCCAGGCTGGAAAACAGCCTTCACGTCTTGGCTCAAATGTCACCTCCGTGAGGCCTGTTTACAGGTGCAGCTGCCCGTCCCCCTTGCCGGCCCTGCTTTGTCCTCCCCCGCCCCCCACGCCCGTCACCCTCCCTGCAATTCCATGCATTGTCCATCCCTGCCACAGTGGGGAGGGGTCCTTGCCGGCTTGTTCAGAGCCTTCCAGGTGCCTGGAACAGCACAGAGAAAGCCTCTGGGGGCCAGGGGCGGGGGTGAGACCGAGCTGTGGGGCAGGGCTGGGCTGGGGGGCTGGGAGGAGGTGTTTACGGGAGGGGAGAGCAAACACATGGATTCCGGGCCAGGAGGGTGGGCAGGAAGTGAAGCCAGGCACAGGGAGGGGTGGACTTCTCCAGGCGTGGGGAGCCCTTTTGGGCTTGTCTCCGAGCCCCCCCGGGTGCAGACGGCCCATCAGCCGGGAGCAGCTGAGTCCAGAGCAGCCTCCGCCCCTCCTCCACGCGTGCTGTCCCCTCCCCTGCCAGGGTCCCGAGGCCCCCGGCTGTCCACCCAGGGCCCACTGCCCCACGCCCATGGCTCTCCTCCGTGTGCTGCTGATTTCGAAAGGTCACTCCAACCCCGAGTCATAAATGTCAGGACTTCATGACTCCTGGAGATTAGAATGAGCTCAGGAAGGAAAAGTGACCATCCGAATCAAACAGCGAGGTCTGCCGAACCCTCTGTCCCAGACGCTTGGATGAAAGTCCTGGTACAGCACCTGCACCCTCTCCAAGTGCGTCTTCCACAAACCAGCCTGGCTTCCGAGTCATCGGAAAGCCGGGTGCCCCCAACCCTGGTCCCCTGCCCCTCATCCTTCCCTGCCCCAGGTGTGTCATCTCAGCCCTGCATGTGCTCCCTGTCCCAGGGGAGCTCCCTGTCCTAGGTGTGCTCTCGGCCGCAGGTGTGCTCTCTGCCCCAGGTGTAAGCCCTGCTTCCGGTGTTGTCTCTGCCTCCTATGTACTCCCTATTCCAGGTAAGCTCCCTGTCCAAGATGTGCCCTCTTCCCAGGTGTGTTCATCACAGGTGTGCTCCCTGTCCCAGGTGTGCTCCCTGTCCCAGGTGTGCTCCCTGTCCTAGGTGTGTTTCCTGCTCCAGGTGCACTCTCAGCCCCAGGTGTGCTTCCTGCCTCAAGTGTACTCTCTGCTACAACCACTGCTCAAGAGCTCACTCTGGCCCCTGGGCCTTTGAACATGCCATTCCTTTGCCTGGGATACCTGCTTCACTCCAGCCAATTGTCCCACATCCTTAGGACCCAGCAGGAGTCCCCACCTCCTCCAGGAGGCCTTTTGCGTCTGCTCTGCGGTTGAGCCTGCCAGTTTTGACTCACAGGGTGCCAAGCGTTGAGTGTTTCTGGATCTCCTCTGAGTTTTAGGGGATGGAGGGGGCGGTGTGTGGAAGGAGGCAGACCGTCGAGGGCTTACACTTCCCTGATCCTCCAAGGCCCGTGACAGCGGGTCAGCTGCTTACCTCCTCTGAGCCTCAGTGCGGCCTTCATCTAGAAGACGAGGCTGGTGAGGGATCCGCAGCTAACTCATAAGCTGGGTGGTTGATGAGGGACGGTGCACAGGTGAGGGCTGACCCCATCCCTGCAGGTCAGGGGCTGGGCTGGGCCCCTGGCCGGATGCAGCCACCTCC